TCCTACTTAATTTTTCGGTTTGTAAACATTTAGAACCGATGTCTTGATTGTAAGAAGTACACCTAACCAGCTTCAGTGGCAGAGAGATTAGTGGTGTCATTTGATTGTGAGGTCATGGCAACATGTCACAATGGCCTGCCAAGCATTTCATTATACAATGTAGCTTGATTTCACCCAAGCAATATCTTCTGCGGAAGCCTGTTTGGGATTATTTGATCCTTTGCATAATCACAAGAAATGTCTACCAAGAGCAGAGTCCCTTGCATGAGTCTGACTATATCATGAGCTTGTGTTTCTGAATAACTATCAAATAGTGATAATACTTGGTGTTTGTGAAAAGATGAGGATATCCTGCCCTACGAGTGGCACCTACCACAAACACATGCACAGGCAAGGCAATTGTTCAACTGAACAAACACAGGAACATATGGTACAAGACACAACAGAGAATCAGGCATCATTTGGGTCACTGATGCATCAATTTGGAAATGTCCTCCACATATCTATCATAAAACTTTTTAAATTCTTTTTTTTTTTTCTTTTTTTTTGAGTTGTAGGGTAAGACAGTATGCTGTCAAAACCTATTTCGGATTGCATAGAATGATACAGTACATTAGGTTGGATAACAACATTTTTGGAAACTTTACTAAGGCCTTGAATATTGTATCCCTGATCAAACAAGTTTTGAACAAGAATCATGCAATGCTCTCTTAAATCTCCTTCGAAAGCACATCCTCCTCGTACTTTAAAAGTTGTGAAATGTAGACACCAAAGGCTGGAGCTGCTGGAATACTGCTCGACATGAAGGGATAGTTGACTATTGGAAAGCTGAAGTCATCGCCGTTGTCATACAGTCTTGTGGGTAGCTTGTTGTCATTCAGAATATTTATCCACAGATCAAATATGAAAGAGAGGAGGCGGTATCACTGGTCACTTTTATCAAGATAGGTTTCAATGTCAACAACATACATAATTTCAGGTTTTTCTGCCACAATGTAATTGGATGAAACTCAACTCACTCACTCACTCACTCACTCACTCACTCACTCACTCACTCACTCACTCACTCACTCACTCACTCCCTTAACCGCCTCTGTGGTCTAATGGTAGAGCGTCCGCCCGGAGAGTGGAAGGTCCGGAGTTCGATCCCCAGCCGGGTCATACCCAAAGACGTTAAAAGATGGTACTTGTTGTTACCCTGTCTGGCACTCGGCATTAAGGGGCTAAAACGAGGACTGGTCGGCTCGGAGTCAGTATACTGTGTCTGAGTGGGGTATTCAAGTTAAACTGCAGCATGGTATCTCAGTATGATAGCACTATAAATCGGCATCAGTCCGGACTAGTACAAGCAGCCACACACACACATACACATACATGCACGTCACTATATAAGTGCAATAATCTTGGACGCAACGTTAAACCCCATTTCACCTCACCCCACCACTCACTCACTCACTTCTCACTCACTCACTCACTCACTCACTTCTCACTCACTCACTCACTCACTCACTCACTCACTCACTCACTTACACACTCCATAAAAATGGACAGTTGAAGAGACAAACTTGGAATTGCACATTTGTCAGATTCAGATCCACGACAGATTGGTGTTTAATCTCAGACCTGTGGCACAGCAACACTGTCCCCAATTACTACTGCTATTCTCAGCTACGTACACAGGTGATATTGAAGTCCGTGGCCTGGATCTGTGGCTTATTTCCTGTCAGGGGCAGATGTTACTGGCGTGTCCACTAATGTGTCCATTTATTATTAAGAAATGACATTCAGTCTGGGTTCAAGCTCATGAGTGAGAGGAGTTCTGCACTTGACTGGTGAGATGGAGATGGGGTTCACTTCTGACATGAAGCTATGTTGTTGAACGGGTCCAGGGTATTTAGGAAGAAAGAATAGTCATAATACCCTGGATGATCGAGGATGTGATGATTGCCACTCTGTTTTTGTGTTGGCATGTCTGATCATGGTAGTGAGAATACATAAATAAATAAATTAATAAATAAATAAATAAATAAATAAAGTAAACTACAGTTATAAAGGGACCACTAATTTTAGTTCGTCATAACCGTATTCCTGTATTTGTCATAAGCATATATACAACAAATGTTGGAACAAAATATTAGGGTCGTTATATCCGTCAGTTCATCATAAGTGTGTTCATTTTAAACATAGTAAACATAGTAAACATAAATAAATAAATAAATAAATAAATAAATAAATAAATAAATAAATAAATAAATAAATAAATAAATAAGAGGATGGATTGATGGAGGGGTGCAGCGTTCTGTTCACCAAGGGAGTGAATGGATGGATGGATGGATGAATGGGATATTCCTGAGGAGACACCACATGAATCTGGATCCCTAGAAACGCACAGGTGTTAATTTTTTGGAATGCGGTAACCCAGCCACGTAGTCTCCACGCCTAACGTTAGTTAACTTCTGTTCTACATATTACCATTCTATTTCAGGTTAGCCAATGATTATTTATTGTCCAGTTTACTACCGTAAGCCTTTATATTGTATTGACCATCATAACTGCTCCATTACCCCAGGACAGAATAGCAAGCAGCCATTGATATGCCTATGGTGTAGTTTCCCGTACTATCGGAGAATCTCAATTAACGGGGCTCTTCTCATTAATGGCTGAGTTATCTCCCCTTGCCCTAGTTTGATTCAGCCTTAAATAATGTATTGTCCACTTAAGGCTCTAAGCTGTCCGTTAGTGTTTCAAAATCTTGTGGAAACTTTCTCGAACTGGCAGTCCAATTTCTGAGATCACGCCTCTTTTCACAAGGAATGTAAATGTGGATTTTAGATCAACCTGTCTGAAAACTACAGACTCTCATCCTTCTTCTATGAAAGGATGAAGGAGTGCTGAGAAAGGTCAAATGTCCAGATGCTCTTGTCCCTGATAATGGATGAAGCACAGAACGGAATTCAAGTGAACAAAACATTTTTAACTGATAGAGAGCCTGAACAAGCCTGACCATATCTCAAAATATACAATTGCGTGGATCGATGCTCATGATATCAATTACTGGATTGTCTGGTCCAGACTCGATTGTTTACAGACCGCAGTCATATAGCGTGAATATTGCTGAGTGCGGCGTTAAACATAAAAAACAAAAAAACAAGTCATATGCCCTCGCCACATACACATTTTACATTTATATATCCTAACGTACCCTGTTTTCGAATAGTTAAGATGGCATTGCTGATGGATGAGTGAATCAAAATTCAAGTTCAGCTTCATACCAGTAGGTAATGTCTTTAACAATAGGGGGGCACGGGTGGCCCAGTCGTCTAAGGCGCCGCGATTCGCTGTGCAGAGTTGCGTCCCTTGGGCACGCCAGAAACCTATGATTGTGGGTTCGAATCCTGGTTCGCCCCAATTATGTTTCTAGGTTTGTCAGCACCATACCCTTGCTCATGGGTTTCACCGAAGTGGTAAACGTCTGAGACCTGCATCACTTCGGGCTTTCCTCCCACATTAAGCTGACACGCCGTGATATAACTGGAATAATGTTAAAAGCGGCATTAAACCCAACTCACTCATTCACTTTAACAATAGAAGTCTGCAACATTCCAAGAGAAAGAATTTCTCATTAAAAGACATGACCTCCATTGCCCTGTCTGTAAACTCCCACTGCACTCGAGTCACGTCACCTGATTGTTTTGTTACTTTATTCACATAATTGAAAGTTTCAAACCTATTCACAAAATGTGAATATTTGTCAAATTATAGTGTTCACCCTATTTTACTATTCATTTCATCATGACACGCACACCAAGATTCTGAATGACGACGGAATGTTACTTACAGGTGTACAGTACTTCACATGAACCCAATGTTGACAGGCTGAATGTGTGCACTCTCAAGGCAGCTTTGATGACGTCACACCTCTTGTTATATCACAACAAATCACTCCATGTATCGTATTAAAATAATTGTCGTTCGAAAATAGGTTACTGGACAGGAAGGGTTACCTACAACATAAACTACTACATAAACTGACCAGTGAAGATCCGGGTAAGAACTGGTCTATCACCCATGCTTGTCGTCAGAGGCGACTAACAGGATCGGGTGGTCAGTCTCGCTGACTTGGTTGATGCATGTCATCGTATCCCAATTGCGTGGATCGATGCTAATGATGTCAATCACTTAATTGTCTGGTCCAGACTCGATTATTTACAGACCGCCGTCATATAGCTTGAATATTGCTGAGTGCGGCGTTAAACAACAAACAAACAAACTACATAAACTGGAAGTAGAGGGACATGAACTGTAGCATCTCCATTGCAATTGTCCTAGTTCACTATCGTTTAGATTAAAGAAACATGTTTACTGAGTCACTTTGTATACATGTCAGCAAGTATATATAATTTTCACACTTAAATATGCAAGAAAAACAATAAGTTCTTAAGTGAAATTTTGAAGATTTGAAACTTTTATGAATGCTTCTTTGCGTTTGAGGATTCCCAAGCGTCTTATATCTCATTGTCTGTCTCTAGTGGGATTTTATGAAAGCTTCAGTGTTATGTACTGTGCACAGTGGCGAGTCTGCCATAAAGTTAGGGATATCCCTATTACTGTTATGGTATTGGTTTGGTATTGTTGTTCCAGAAGATCAATCTTTGGTTATAATCATTTACAAACATTCTGTGTATTTTACCTTTCATCTTCCAAGTCCTAGTTCCTGCTTGTATCATGATTGAACATTTTCTTATTCCTTTTGTTTGGGGGAACTGAAATGCCCTAATATTCAACCCTATCAGTATACAGAAGATGACAGAGCTATTGTCTTTGATTAATGCTAGTGTCTAATCGGTCAAAATGTAGCAACTGTTTGTTGCAAGAACATTTAGGATCTTAGGATTCTGGCATGCCTAAGGGAGACAACTATGCACCACAAGTTGCAGTGCCATTGATGATCAGGCCTCCCGTGCCCCTGACCTGACTAATCATTCCTGTTTTCCTTGCAGTTTGAACAGCTTGCGTATACCTGGTTAGAGAGACAGAAGCTTGGGGGAACGTACAGCAGCCATCGTGCCCAGACGGAGCGCCACGTGGTCGTGTGCACCACCACCCTGCACTCCGACACCATCATGGACTTCCTGAATGAGTTCTACGCCCATCCACTTCTGCAGGTCAGTTTGAAGGATCTCATCTCACTGGTAAAATACATGCATAACAACTGGTCAATAAAATTTTCATCAATTTTATGTACCCTGCTACTGGAATAAATATACCATGTCGTCATGGCAACATGTTGACCTCTGTAATCTCTGCAATTCAAGCTCCTTACATTGAAATTACATCGTGGAATGTATATCAACATTGCCTTTAGATGTACGTGATTCACAAACAATGTGTAAACAAATTGTCTGGCAGCTGGGTGACAAACAAACCATGGGCGGGTCCAGCATTTTTAAATTGGCGGGGTCCAAAATATCAAAATACTCTCTTCCTACAACATACTACTGCCTAAAACATACAACTGCCTACAACATACAACTGCCTACAACATACAACTGCCTACAACAACATAAAACTGCCCACAACATACAACTGCCTACAACATACAACTGCCTACAACATACCACTGCCCACAACATACAACTGCCTACAACATACTACTGCCTACAACATACAACTGCCTACAACATATCTCTGTTTGTTTTGAAATTGTGGAACACTATAAACATGGTGTTAAGATAAATGTGTGTATTTTATTTTTGCCCCGGGGTACACAGCCACACAGCGGGTACATCATAACGTATCCCTCTTGTGATGAGGCTACAACTAATAATAAATACTTTTTCTATTGAGCTTCCAGAAACCATAATTTCAACCAATCAGTAATGAGTATGAGCAATAATACCCTTTAATAGCATTTACTGAAAACTGCCCCGTAATATCATGATGGGGACTCCATTAATGGGCTTCACACATTGTACCCATGTGGGTCATCGAAACCTGGGACTTTGGCCTAATGAGTGAACATTTTAACTCCAAGGATGAGAAACCCCAGCACCGCTTACAACAATCACTGGTTTCTGTGGACCATTCTAACCCTGTATCCCTACATGGAGCTGTGATTTATCATCCAAAACTGGCTCCCACAGGAGATATCGCTTGGGTGAGATCAAGCCATATCTACACTGTAGATATCGCTGCAATGAAATTGCATCACAATCCTTTGCAGACCATTGTGATGTCATTGGTTACCATGACGTCACAATCAAATGACATCACTAATGGCTCTGCTACTGAAGCTGTTAGCAGTACTTTTTACACTTCAGACACTGCTTATTACTGTCTACAAACTGAAAAAGTTGGAAGAATGATGTTGGATGATAAATAAAATCTCACCCTCGTGTCTTTTGATACCAAATATATCAACACTCGTTGATATATTTGATATCAAAAGACAATCTGGTGAGATTCTCTATATCACAGACTGTGGCCTAAACCAGCATTGACTTTCTCCTCCGTGTTGCAGGACTACTTTGTGGTGCTGTTGTCGCCGTGTGAGCTGGACTCGACCATGAAGATGCTGCTGCAGGTGCCCATCTGGGCACAGCGGGTCATCTATGTCCAGGGTTCAGCTCTCAAATACACTGATCTTGCCCGGTGCAGGTAAACCGATACTTCCATAACTGTGGAACATATTATGTGCAACCAGGAACAGAGGAGTCCATGTAACACAACTTCTTGTTGCTCATCATCTTACCTTTAAGTCTGGCTCAACCTGAAATATTTTTACATTTTTTGCATGCTATAATTTCACACTCTCAGAGTTATTTTTAATTCTGAAGTAGCAACTTTTTTTGACAATTTGTATTTGAAGACCACTTACTTTTTTCACCTGCTTCTATAAAAGTGTCTTGTCTCCATCCTCTACCTGCACCTGAGTATCAGTGGAGAACTTCATGATTCTATTTTTACCTTCCAGGATGCAGGAAGCTGAGGCATGTTTTGTATTGGCAGGACGAAACCATAGCAACAAGATGACTTCTGTAAGTGTATCACATTCTCCAGACTTCTTTATCATAATGAATAACCTTAGACATTATACAGGGTCCTTACAGACTTTAAGTCACCAAATTCAAGGCCTTTTCAAGCCTCCCTCCCCAATCATACAAGGTGATGCCAATATATCACTTTGTAAACTTACCAGTACTTGTTAAAAAGTTGTTGTTTTCTAAATGTCTACTTCACATTTATCACCGTGAATGGTATTCTGTTGATGCAAGGTATGATTTTTCAAACTAAATTTGAAGTTCAGTGTCCATACTAAATTATCTTCTTCAAACATTTTTAAACTATTAAAACGTGTATTAATACTGAGGTAATTTGCTTGATATAGGAATTAGTGAGGAAAAATCAACACCTTTTCAAGGCATTTTTCCAATTTCAAGAAGAATAGAAATTTGAAGCCTGTGTGAACCTATACTGATTGCCCCAGTCGGTTCAGGCAACATTTCTTTAATTTGGACATTGATCAACACATGAATATAGATCAAGATCTGTTTATACATCCGATTCATTGGGCACCTTCAAGTGGACAAAAGGTCCACAGTTCTCAATGCTTTGGTGCCAACCAAATGAGTCATGTAATTACAAAGTGGGACCTAGATGATTGTATGTGGTTTGGTAAGCCTCAGAATTTTTGTTTTTTGAGACTATTCCAGAGGACTAGTTTAGACCATATTTTTATAGTCCTCAGAGATAATAGGTGCTCCTGCTTGTAGAAAAAAATGGTTACCATATTTACTTTTCTGTCAGTATATTCGTTTTTTTAAAGCAAAATTTAAGCTTTGAGAACTGGTTCAGAATTAAATCGCTCAAATGTGACTAGTCAATGAGGACTATCATCATTGGGTATATACTTGTCCTAGACACAATTTAGTAGCCTCAGGCTAGCAGACTATCAGGAATTTCGAAGGCTGCTAGATTATGTTTGATAAGTCGCACTGATAAAGCTTGAATATTGCTGACTGTGATTCTCTTACTCACTCGGGGCGGTCGGGTAGCCTAGTGGTTAAAGCGTTGGCTCGTCACGCTGCTGACCCGGGTTCGATTCCCGACATGGGTACAATGTGTGAAGCCCATTTCTGATGTCCCCCGCTGTGATATTGCTGGAATATTGCTAAAAGCGGCGTAAAACCATACTCACTCACTCTTACTCACTCACTCTTTCAGGACCAGCACACCATCCTGAGGTCTTGGGCCGTCAAGGACTTTGCCCCAACTTGCCCACTCTATGTCCAGATATTTCGTCCAGAGAACAAGTTTCATGTCAAATTTGCTGGTAAGTCTTTCCTGGCAACATTTCAGATGTCAAGGCACTGGTGAGCCTGCCTTTAGGTGGATGCAGAATAACGTGCAAGCCTTCATCACTTATATATAGTGTGCACTCACCCATCCCACCTCTCCTTCAGGAACCAACAGATTCATATACAGTAGAACACGGATATAACGAACACAGATACAGCAAACAAACGGATACAACGAACTGTTAAAAAATCCCTGATTTATCTCCTATATAATATCATATAAAATTTACGTATATAACGAACTCTCTACAGCGAACTAACGGATACAGCGAACTGATATCTGATCACCGACAAGCCCATCTATCACTAATTAGTGACGTGTATAGTGAACTGAGAAATCTCACTCAGTGTCAAGTGTCACTGACAATTGGCTGTGCGCAATCAGTGGTGAATCAAAACAATGGCGGCGAATCAATACAATCAGCAGTGACAGATCAACCTTGTTTAATTTGCATTGTGTTAATCTTACCTGTACATGTTATCTTGTCTGTAAAACAAACATTAAATATAAAAAAATTACGAGATTGTGTCCAAGTGTCAGATCACTTGCATATGCTATCACGGTGGGCAATAGTAAGAGGAAAGCTCTAGTAAGACACGAAATTGAGAATTATTAATGCTGTTGATCCAAGATGGCGGACGTTTCCAAGCGAAAACGTGTATAATGAACAACGGATATAACGAACTGATTTCTCTGGTCCCTTGTAGTTGGTTATATCCGTGTTCTACTGTAAGTAAGAAAATGTACAACTTTATGGATAACGACTTCTGGATTATGGCATGTAGCGACTTTCGATGTAGATTCTAACATCGTCATCAAGTTGGAGTAACGTTGAAACATCACTTTATGCCAAAAAATAGAAGTTGTTGTCCATAGAGTTGTATGTTTTCTTACTTACTCACCAACTTCTAGAATGCCAATCAAACGGTTACATTCATATAATTTTGAATAATGACCTATAGTGGCACTTGTTTTACTTGTTAGAATGCATGTTCAGAATGGCCAGTGAATTCCTAGCTCATCAACTGCAGCAAAAATAATGTGACATTATCATAATGATTTGATGAATTTGTGAATTCTTTCTATAAACATAAATGTTAAGTACATGTATGTAGTGTTTGTCATGAATCATTTGTACAGGTGAGCTACAGTGTTGTTTACAAGGTGGCTTGATTCCTATTTACATTTCATTCTTAATCTGGCAAAGACTATGCAGGTTAAAATAATACACTTGCAACTGACCATTGAAACAAGCCTTGTGTACAAAAACCTGACAAGAAGCAAATCTGGACATGGGTTATTGGATGATGAAGGTAAGGACAAGCTTTTATATTGCTTTTAAAATAGGTGTGTTCAATGTGTGTTTCAGACCACGTTGTGTGTGAGGATGAGTTCAAGTACGCCCTACTTGCCAACAACTGTCTGTGCCCGGGAATTTCTACGTTTGTCACACTACTGCTACATACGTCTAGAGGACAGTGAGTACACGCACCCTTCTATATAGCAGTTGGGGGGCACGGGTGGCCCAGTCCTCTAAGGCGCCGCGATTCGCTGTGCAGAGTTGCGTCCCCTGGACACGCCAGAAACCTATGATTGTGGGTTCGAATCCCGGTTCACCCCAATTATGTTTCTAGGTTAGTCAGCACCATACCCGTGCTCGTGGGTTTCACCGCAGTGGTAAACGTCTGAGACCTGCATCACTTCGGGCTTTCCTCCCACATTAAGCTGACACGCCGTGATATGACTGTAATACTGTTAAAAGCGGCGTTAAACCAAACTCACTCACTCACTATATAGCAGTCACTGGATATAGCAGTCACTGGATAGCTGTGGATGTCAATATTACAACTCACCATTCAGGTTTTGTTATTTTTTGTGCGTTTACTAATCTTCAAACCATAAAAATCAGGAATGCTAAAAACAAATTGTTCCATTATCAGATGCGAGTGGTCTTTGCTCGCATTAATTAACTTCGCATTTATGTCTCGAAAATGACTATAAACAATAAGACGGCCTTACTGGACACTTTGGATAGCGGAAATACCAACTTGAACACAATAAACACAGACATGGTTTATTGAGCAGCAGTTGTAACAAGTATATAACAATGTCATTCAAAGAATAGGAATTACACAATGGATACCGGTGAGTTATGGTCATCAGTTCTACCCACTCGTGACAGCTTGTTGACACCTTCTCCGTATACCAATCAGTGAACTGTTGTTGGTTCAATTATTTTATTGCCTTTAACTTCCTTAATGCCAGTCAACAGAGTAAACATATAAACTGTGTGATGGTTTTAGGAATATCGCATTGATATTGAGTCTCATTTTTGGCTTTGGTCAGCAGTTGTATTAATTTGGAGATGCATTAATTTCCAGATTTACAGTATTAATCTTACTGTTGACCAATTGTTTGAAGGGATAAAATCGGTAAACAAACCGTAGTAAACAAACTAATGATAGACTCAGGCAGTACTTGTAATTTCAATTCAAATCATATTAAACCAACTTTGCCAGTTTGAAATTTATTTTGGATGTACTAGTCCAGCAGTTATTGACACAGGTTACAACTTTTAGACCCAGACAGAGTACAAATGATGGAGTGCATATGTGGTAATGAGATGCTCAATATCAATACACAGTAGACACCTACACCTGTAATTATATATTGCCATAGCATTGTGATGACAAATGTATGCACATGTAGTTATCTATGTTTCCCTGTTCCTCCCAGAGAGGGCCAGACATCGTCGGAGGAGTGGCAGCAGCTGTATGGCCGGTGTTCTGGCAACGAGATCTACCACATACAGCTGGGAGACAGCAAGTTCTTCGGGGAGTACTGTGGCAAGAGCTTCACATATGCGTCCTTCCATGCCCATAGGAAGTAAGTGCCCTGATATAAATACTTCATTCCATGCCCATAGGAAGTAAGTCTCCTCATGTATGATGTTTTATTCCATGCCCATAGGAAGTAAGTCTCCTCATGTATGATGTTTTATTCCATGCCCATAGGAAGTAAGTCTCCTCATGTATGATGTTTTATTCCATGCCCATAGGAAGTAAGTCTCCTCATGTAAGATGTTTTATTTCATGCCCATAGGAAGTATGTCTCCTCATGTAAGATGTTTTATTCCATGCCCATAGGGAGTATGTCTCCTCATGTAAAATGTTTTATTCCATGTCCATAGGAAGTAAGTCTCCTCATGTAAGATATGTTTTATTCCATGTCCATAGGGAGTAAGTCTCCTCATGTATGATGTTTTATTCCATGCCCATAGGAAGTAAGTCTCCTCATGTAAGATGTTTTATTTCATGCCCATAGGAAGTATGTCTCCTCATGTAAGATGTTTTATTCCATGCCCATAGGGAGTATGTCTCCTCATGTAAAATGTTTTATTCCATGTCCATAGGAAGTAAGTCTCCTCATGTAAGATATGTTTTATTCCATGTCCATAGGGAGTAAGTCTCCTCATGTATGATGTTTTATTCCATGCCCATAGGAAGTAAGTCTCCTCATGTATGATGTTTTATTCCATGCCCATAGGAAGTAAGTCTCCTCATGTATGATGTTTTATTCCATGCCCATAGGAAGTAAGTCTCCTCATGTAAGATGTTTTATTTCATGCCCATAGGAAGTATGTCTCCTCATGTAAGATGTTTTATTCCATGCCCATAGGGAGTATGTCTCCTCATGTAAAATGTTTTATTCCATGTCCATAGGAAGTAAGTCTCCTCATGTAAGATATGTTTTATTCCATGTCCATAGGGAATATGTTCCTCATGTAAGACATGTTTTATTCCATGTCCATAGGAAGTATGTCTCCCCATGTAAGATGTTTTATTCTATGTCCATAGGAAGTAAGTCTCCTCATATAAGATGTTTTGTTCCATGCCTATAGGAAGTAAATCTACTGATGATATTTGTTTTATTCCATGTCCATAGGAAGTCAGTCTTCTGATTATATGTTTTATTCCATCCCAAAAGGAAGTAAGCCCCTAGATGAAAGATGTTTTATTTCATGCCCTAAAGATGTAATCTTCCTGATGATATATGTTTTATTCCATGCCCATAGGAAGTAAGTCTCCTGAAGATATATGCTTTATTCCATGCCCATAGTTATGATGAATCTCCTAAAACATATGGTTTCCCATATTCATTCCAAAAGGAAGTTACCAGGGTATGAAACTCCCAAAAATTTCAGCCAGACCACAGGACTGGCTAGCTGAAATACTTCCCAGCCCTGACCAAAACCTGCCTGCCCACTATAATCATATATTTCTCAGGATAAGCTAACGGGGTTTCTCGGATGGTCGGGCAGGCAGGTATTTCAAACACTGAAGTTTGACTGTTGTGAAAGTAAGGAAACAAGGATGCACCTGTGAGCAACTCTGAGGCTATTGTAGGTATGGAGTGAGTCTGGTGGGGATGCAGAAGGATGTGCCGGGCTCCACCATCCAGCTGAACCCCGGCCCACGCCACATCATGAGGCAGTCCGACATCTGCTTCTACATGAACATCACCAAGGAGGAGAACTCCAACTTCATCCTGGCCCACCCAAACCAGGAGGAAAAGACGGAGAAGAACAGGCTGCCCCATGGGGCAGAGCAGGCTTCCAGGGTGGCCAGTATGATTGCCAGTGTTGGTGAGTGCACAGTATGATCTAGTGTGGGTGAGTGGACAGTATGATTGTCAGTGTTGGTGAGTGGACAGTATGATTGTCAGTGTGGGTGAGTTGCCAGTATGATTGCCAGTGTTGGTGAGTGGACAGTATGATCTAGTGTGGGTAAGTTGCCAGTATGATTGTCAGTGTGGGTGAGTGGACAGTATGATCTAGTGTGGGTGAGTTGCCAGTATGATTGTCAGTGTGGGTGAGTGGACAGTATGATCTAGTGTGGGTGAGTTGCCAGTATGATTGTCAGTGTGAGTGTGTGGACAGTATGATCTAGTGTGGGTGAGTTGCCAGTATGATTGTCAGTGTGGGTGTGTGGACAGTATGATCTAGTGTGGGTGAGTTGCCAGTATAATTGTCAGTGTGGGTGTGTGGACAGTATGATCTAGTGTGGGTGAGTGGACAGTAGGATCTAGTGTGGGTGAGTTGCCAGTATGATTGTCAGTGTGGGTGTGTGGACAGTATGATCTAGTTTGGGTGAGTGGACAGTAGGATCTAGTGTGGGTGAGTTGCCAGTATGATCTAGTGTGGGTGAGTGGACAGTAGGATCTAGTGTGGGCGAGTTGCCAGTATGATTGTCAGTGTGGGTGAGTGGACAGTATGATCTAGTGTGGGTGAGTGGACAGTATGATCTAGTGTGGATGAGTGGACAGTATGATCTAGTGTGGGTGAGTGGACAGTATGATCTAGTGTGGGTGAGTTGCCAGTGTGGGAGAGTTAAATCTCATTAAAATCAGAACTTGGTGCTTGCTACTGCTGCACATAGATCTGAGGACATTCCATTACAGGTCATGTCAGAACGACCTTTCATCTGACCAATCAGACCATTGCTTACCAGATTACGAAACTGAAAGTCCTAAGGCGTTTTCTAATCAACTCCCCTAAAAACCAAACCAAATTGACCAATTTCAGGAACTGTTGCGCTGGAACTTCAACACACACGTATCGACAGTGAAGCCGAGAACATGACCCGTCAAGGGAGCAAGCGAACCCGCCTGAGCCTGCCGAAAGGCCTCAACATCCAGAGCCTCCAGAAGAGGCCCAGCATAGCCCCTGTACCAGCCTTCCTCGACTCCAGCGACATCCAGATCAACCTGACAGGGTCCGACTCCGAGTCGGATGATGACACTGCCCATGAGGAGGAGTATGATGAGTACCCAGAGTGAGTGCAGGCAGTGACGGGATATTAGGGCGTCAACAATAACAATAACAATATAAAAAAGTTCAGTTTGTGGTAGAGTGGCTGAACTGACTATATAAGAGTTTCAGTGTGTTGGGTATAAGTAAAATTATTTTTAAAAAAACAGTTTTATTTAATTATTGTAAATACGACATTAAATATGACCAATTTATTAATCGACTGTCCGTAATAATCTGGCCCCGTATCAAAAAGAAGCACTGGAGGTCAAATACAGGTTTAGCTATACATCTGTTCCGGGCCAGCTTTTGTGCATGATTGCATTCCTTACAATGCAATCACAACAAGGCGATAGACAACTTATTAGAGCATGGATCATGTTTTCTTTTTACTTCAACATTTTTAGCTTTTTCTTGATGTTCTTGACTGGTACTACTTGGGGACTCATAGTTTAGGTAGACAGTTAATAAATATGTCATTAAATACCAGTAGGTGTTGCCTCGGGCCAATACAGCCTGCCTCGAGCAAATAGGACTGACCGAAGACCTATAGCAAGGCCAATATTAAAACACCCTATTGTAACATTACAGGTATATTATTTTCATGGGCCAACCATAAAGTTTTAATACTTTGTATCTTTATATTTCGTAATATGTTTTGGCAATGTTTATGTCAAATTCTTCTCAGGAAATAATGTCAAATCAACATTTTGCAAAAAAATAATATTTGTTTAGTTTGCCTCCTAATTCTTGGCATATTGGCAAAGAAACTATGTACATAATAATTGGTTCTGGCTTTAAAGTGTATAAAGATAAATTTTTAAATGTATATATTATTATCAACATTGTTTTTCTTTGCCACACTGTTAACATTCAATGTTTACTCTGCAGGAAAAACAAAAACTGACAATAATCATTAATATATATGTTTGTTGTGTTTTTATTGTTAGAATAATTATTCCAAGTTCTAATTATGTTTTCAGGTATGTGCGGGGTTTCCCACCAGTGACGCCCTACGTGGGCACGAGCCCAACCCTATGTCACTTGATGAGAGAGAAGCGCCCTCTGTGTTGTCTGCAACTCATGCAGGTACAACCTACGTATCACGCAGTTCAGTACAATTTTGACTCATATTGATGGATACGTGTTGTTATCGTAATGGTGCAGTCGATGTCCGTTCGTCCGTCGCTCTCTGCTTTTTCTTCTGCACTGTGGTGACAAGCTTCTTTCTTGCACCAGCGGGGATTTGCCACAGTGGGGATTTGCCACAGCAGGGATTTGCCACAGTGGGGATTTGCCACAGCAGGGATTTGCCACAGTGGGGATTTGCCACAGTGCGGATTTGCCACAGTGGGGATTTGGCTGCAGCAGGGATTTTGCCACAGTGTTTAGTGAAATTGTCTTGCTAGAAATGGTTGGCATACATTCCTTGTGAAAAATGAAAGAAATGGGAGTATTGCTGAAGAGAATGGGTTAGGATTATGGAGCTTTCTGGAAGGGACTTGTTGTACAGTTGATATTATAAGGCAGGACTTGTTGATGTTGTAAGGTAGGACTTGTTGTACAATTGATGTTAAAAGAAAGGACTAGTTGTACAGTTGATGTGAAACCCACGAGCATGGGTATGGTGCTGACAAACCTAGAAACATAATCAGGGCAAACCGGGATTCAAACCCACAATCATATGTTTCTGGCGTGCCCAAGGGATGCAACACTGCACAGTGAATCGTGGCGCCTTAGACGACTGGGCCACCCGTGCCCCCCTATGACAGTCTGTGACATTGGCCACCAGTCTGAAGCCAGTGTCTAGTAAACTATGGTCAGCTCAGCTGATAATAGTGCATATAATGACACTCCTATTGACTGAAAAATTCACCAAGAGACCTAGTTCACCTAGTCTCCAAAGAATTTGGTACAGACGACCCTCTTTGCCAGAAACAAAAGGTCACGCTGACCCCTAAGATTTGGCGGGCTCGTAGGGACCACCCAAGAGATAAATGTTGATTAGAACATCATGATCATCTGTAGATCTTCTCTAAGTCTCCATGTAGTCTCTGTAGTATTGTAATTGTTCTTTGTTCTACACATAGTTGCACATTTCCGTCATCTCAAGTAGAGCTGAGCTACACACAGGGAACTAGTGCTTTGGGTCTTTCGTGTCAGCCTTTGTATAAACCAGCTCTCTCTTGTGCCTCTGTTTGGTCTGTGTAGTCTTGTACTGCTGTGGCCACATTGCAAGGCAGTGGTATTATTGCGATGTCAGCTTCTTTACTTTGTTATCACATGTTTCAATTCAGTTTGTTGAAGGACTAGGTTACAAACATATGTTTTTATAATCTTGGTAACAGATTAAATATGGTCTGCATTTGCACTGCATTCGTTGTGTTATGGTTCATGATTAAGGCTACAGGTAAGTGACGAAACTAAGGTAATGTGCGTGTAAAGAAATACTTCAGAAATAACTATGATGAGTTCTATATTCTTCCTTCAAAGACGCCACATGTTTCTTATGCCACAAAAGCAACATCTACAGATGTGTTTGATATGAAACTTCAATGCCAGAGAATAATCAATTATCAGCTGAATACAGATTCCATATACTTGAGCGGCAGCATGGGGGTGAAAATTATATGAATGGATCACTGAAAATCAGTGATGACACCAGGTGTTCATGAAAAGCACCTGCCCTTCACAAAAATTTTCATTAAAAAGTAACTGTTGATTTGTTGGCTAAGAAAGTGTTGAGGAGTAGTCAGATGTTCCCAGATTGTGGCCATATTTTGTCAGAACCTTATCTGTGCTTATGAATTTCACTAAGGTGGTAAAATTCAATGACATGGATCACTTTTTACTTTTTTCCCACATGAAGCTAACATGCCGATATGCCATGTTCGCCATAATAAGCGCCCTGGACACTTAGAAAATTGACAGAGGGGGCGCCAATTAAAACCATACACAACCAGTTAAATTTCTCATCAGAAATCAAGCAGAAGTTAACAAACTTAGTTGAAACATTGATGTAACAAGTTTCAACCCCTTCTGCTTTGCTGTTTTCTGTGTTTGATAGAAAGTATGGACTGTCATGGAAGTTTTCAGTCTCAGTTGGGGCACTTATAAAGATTGGCCCAGAAGTTGGTCATGGGGCACTTTTTTAGCAGTGCGCTTATTATGTCGAATACAGTACCTGTAAAAAATACCATTCAAAATGGCAATTTTAAATCATGACAAATGTATAATCCAATATGGCCGCTACTTCAGGTCTGCGATCACTGTGATGCTAAGAGCTGCAAGGAGTACAACTGGCCCAACCCTGCGGTGATTGTGGCTGCTGACTATGCCAGCAATGGCCTCTATAATTTCATTGTGCCTCTACGATCTCATGCTCGCCCCAAGAAGTCACTCAGTCCAATCGTCCTGCTTCTTGAAACTGAGTGAGTATTATACGCCATATTAAAGATAATGTTGAGGATATGCTTCTGATGTGTCTCTCAGTTTGACCGCCTCCGTGGTCTAGTGGTGAAGCATCAGTCCGGAGAGTGGAAGGTCCGTGTTCGAACCCCGTCCGTGTCATACCCAAAGATATTTAAAGATGGTACTTGTTCGTACCTTGTCTGGGGCAAGGCATTAAAGGGCTAAAACAAGGACTGGTCGGCTCGGAGTCAGTATGCTGTGTCTGAGTGGGGTATTCATGTTAAACTGCGGCATGGTATCTCAGTGTGCTAGCACTATACATCGGCACTAATCTGGACAAGTACAAGCAGCCACACGCGCGCACACACACACACACACACACACACACACACACACACACACACACACACACACACACACACACACACACACACACACACACACACACACACACGTGCATGCACGCCATTAATTCAGTGCAATAATCTAGGACATGACGTTAAACACCATTTCACCTCACCTCACCACCTGTCCCTCAGTTTAGTCAAGTCCACTGTCTGTTCCATGAGGAAACCTGAGCTGCACTGGGTTGTCGTGACTCTCTTGTACTTGTAGGCACAACAGTCATAGGGTTGCCATTCATACGGGAAACAGGAAACTGATCTTTTTAAGGATGTAATTCAAAACAAAAGACTATCTATTACTAGAGATAGTTATTTTTCCTTTAAAAGTTCTTGAAGTAAAGTTGCAACCAAAAATGACATACAAGATATTTTTCAACCAAACACAGCTTTTCATTTTTTCACTTTGGTAAAGTTTTAATACATCTGGTCTCATCGACATAATGTTGGTTACATAAAATGATTGAATAGCCCTAACGCTAACTCTAAGTCAAACCATGTGAACTTTTCTTACATATTGAATGAGGTAAACATGGTACTTGACGAAAAGTACATGTATACATTCCATCCATGTGTCCTGAAGTTGTTGAAAATACTGTTCCCTTCCAGACCTGAGCCATCATTCCTTGAGACCATCTGCTACTTTCCACTGGTGTATTGGATGAAAGGATCTCTTGACAGGTAACTAGTGATGCATGTCCGTTTCTTACTTGTCACTGTTGGATTGGATGAAAGGATCTCTCGACAGGTAACTTGTCATGCATGTCCGTTTCTTACTTGTCACTGTTGGATTGGATGAAAGGATCTCTCGACAGGTAACTTGTCATGCATGTCCGTTTCTTACTTGTCACTGTTGGATTGGATGAAAGGATCTCTCGACAGGTAACTTGTCATGCATGTCCGTCTCTTACTTGTCACTGTTGGATTGGATGAAAGGATCTCTCGATAGGTAACTTGTCATGCATGTGTGTTTCAAGGCAAGCAAAGAATTGAGCTGTATGTAAGACAGGGAAGTCAATGGGTCCTACTCTGTTCATGAATTTTGTTAAGAATGTATCATGGTATGTTGTCTCCTGTCCTTGGTGCCAGAACCTATGTATGGTGTGTATGTTTACAGCCTGGATGACCTGCTTCGGGCAGGAATCAACCATGCTGGGAACGTCGTCATTGTCAACAAGGAGAGCTCCACGTCCAGAGAGGAGGAGACACTGGCCGACAGTAACACAATTGTATCTGTACAGACTATATTCAGGTAGATACCACACAGCTGTACTTACAGCAACACAATTGTTTCTGTACAGACTATATTCAGGTATATACAACACAGCTCTACTTACAGCAACACAATTGTATCTGTACAGACTATATTCAGGTAGATACCACACAGCTGTACTTACAGCAACACAATTGTTTCTGTACAGACTATATTCAGGTATATACAACACAGCTCTACTTACAGCAACACAATTGTATCTGTACAGACTATATTCAGGTATATACAACACAGCTCTACTTACAGCAACACAACTGTATCTGTACAGACTATATTCAGGTATATACAACACAGCTCTACTTACAGCAACACAATTGTATCTGTACAGACTATATTCAGGTATATACAACACAGCTCTACTTACAGCAACACAATTGTATCTGTACAGACTATATTCAGGTATATACAACACAGCTCTACTTACAGCAACACAATTGTATCTGTACAGACTATATTCAGGTATATACAACACAGCTCTACTTACAGCCACACAACTGTATCTGTACAGACTATATTCAGGTATATACAACACAGTTCTACTTACAGCAACACAATTGTATCTGTACAGACTATATATTCAAGTATATACAACACAGCTCTACTTACAGCAACACAATTGTATATGTACAGACTATATTCAGGTATATACAACACAGCTCTACTTACAGCAACACAATTGTATCTGTACAGACTATATTCAGGTATATACAACACAGCTCTACTTACAGCAACACAATTGTATCTGCACAGACTATATTCAGGTATATACAACACAGCTCTACTTACAGCAACACAATTGTATCTGTACAGACTATATTCAGGTATATACAACACAGCTCTACTTACAGCAACACAATTGTATCTGTACAGACTATATTCAGGTATATACAACACAGCTCTACTTACAGCAACACAATTATATCTGTGCAGACTATATTCAGGTATATACAACACAGCTCTACTTACAGCAACACAATTATATCTGTACAGACTGTATTCAGGTATATACAACACAGCTCTACTTACAGCAACACAATTGTATCTGCACAGACTATATTCAGGTATATACAACACAGCTCTACTTACAGCAACACAATTGTATCTGTACAGACTATATTCAGGTATATACAACACAGCTCTACTTACAGCAACACAATTGTATCTGTACAGACTATATTCAGGTATATACAACACAGCTCTACTTACAGCAACATAATTGTATCTGTACAGACTATATTCAGGTAGATACCACACAGCTGTACTTTAGTCAAGAAAACATAGCAAGACTCACCCCGGTTATGATCTTGTGGGCTACCTAAAGTGGTAAACATCAACAATCTACATCATGTTTGGTTTAGTTCTTACATTACACTGATGACTCATAGAGATGGGTCCCCAGCATCTATACTTGTCGTAAGAGATGACTAAAGGGATGAGGTGGTCAGACTCAGTGATTGGTTGAGTGAATGTCATCTTATCCCAGTTGCCTGAATTGATATTCATGATGTCAATCTCCTTGTGCCAATATCAGTACATTGTCACTCTTTACACCCTTATGGGTAATATAACTACATAGGGATTTTTCGTCAGATTTGGTCCACAGCAACCTGTGATTGTTGTTAGTTGCGAGAGGTCAGGATAGGGATCTTGGTTCATAGTGTGTCATCACACCCTGATGGCATGGATCGTTGCTCATAATAATAGCAATCACTGTATTGTCTGGTCCAGACTTGATTATTTACAGAATGCCGCCATAATGCTGGAATATTGCTGAGTGCAGGTTAAACAAACAAACAGGCAGACAAACATTAAGCTGACATCATGCAATATTGTTTATTATTTTTATAAAGGTGAAGTTGCTAGGGAATATTTATTGCATGTTTTATTTACATTTCATTCCAGATTATTCCCTACTGCCAACATTATCACAGAGTTGTCACAAGCTTCCAATATGAGGTTCATGCAGTTCCGTGCCAAGGACAGATATGCCCTCACCATTTCCAAGTTGGAAAAAGTAACTATTATACCTATACCTAGAAGGGCAATCATTATTATCTCCCCTTACATTGAAATACTAGCTTCTGATTGGTTAGACTGAAAAAAATAATAATCTTGGGTCTCAGGCATCACCCGCATCATCATAATGCCGCACATTTTGTTTTTATTTCCATTTCCCAAAAATAAAAAAATAATAATACTTAAACACAATGCAAAAAAAAAAATGGAAAATGGAAACAAAAACGAAACGTGCAATGAACTTTGTGATGATGTGGGCAGTGCCTGAGAACCAAGACTATTATTTTTTTTAGCCTTAAGGAGCAATTATTTTCCATATAGCCTGTCTCATGTAGCCCGCTCATGTAGACCGCTGAGAAATTGATCAGAACACACTTTAGGTAACTTACTTATTTTGCAAAAGTATTGTTGAGCTGAAATGAACTGATGTTTATCCGAATTCAGTGGGTAAAGGGAAGTAACTTGGTTCATTTGAATCAAAGTGTTTTACACAGTTAAACATAAATTCCTGTTCTGTATGATTGAATGTCAGTGATATAAATTTGTTGTCAACCTATCCCCCAGGCATATGGTGTGATATACCCTGTGTGTGAGCCTGACTGCTCGGGGTACATAGGCTCACGCACAGGGTACATCACACCATATACCCTCGAGGTAGGCTGACAACTTACATTACACTTCTAGATCATGATCAAAGCTGATTGAGGTGATACTGCAGCACTGTTCAGAACAGCAGCATCTGTTGATTGATACAGAAAGACCAATTTCATATGGTTATCATTGTACCAACAGGACTAATAGGGTGTCACGATATTCTGTCTTGCTCAGACGAACTAATGTAGGTTACTGTATTCGACGTAAGAAGCGTCCTGCTCTAATAAGTGCCCACTGCGATATTTGCTAATATATTGACCAGTGAACAATCCTAATTAGCACCCCTTCCTATTGATCAATGTACACAAGACTTATATTTCTGCGTATAATACGCACTCATATTCTAATAAGAGCCCCCTATTTCTAATTTTGAGAGCACCCTGGGCACTTATTACATCGAATACGGTAATTAGATTCTGTTGATTAATGCAGAAAGACCAATTTAAAAAAAGAAGAAGTTGTAAACATTGTTGTACTGAGTAAAACGGTATCATAAACTGTTATGTAATATATGTGTCTAGATTGATGGAAAGAAAGTTTTGTGTCGAATCAACTGCAGTAAATTGGAAGAAAGGGAGTGGGTCAAGCCTTAGAAAAACTGTTTATACCGAATGAAAATAGATTAGGTTGGATAGATGAGCAGATATGAGGAGATTTAGAAATGAAGGGTATTGAATGTGGCTCTATTGGCCAGCTCATGTTTCTGTCCTGAAAACTGAACAAAAGAACAATCTGTAATGTCTAATAGATGGCTGAGATTGTATGGCAGTACTTCCCATGGGTTGTGGAAAGTTTCTTCTGTTTCTTCCCATTGAAGCGAGAGATAGACGATGATTTTGACTAAATCTGTCATTCAGCCCGTAACTGTCGTTTAGAGTGTCTCCTGTTAACCTTTTCGAGGTCTAATGATCAGAAAACACATTCTGACTTTCACTTTTGCGATTGCGCAAGCAATGTCTGATTTGTCAGATTAAAGTTCGTTCTGAGGTCCTCAGGTCTCTGTAAAGATCTGATTTTAGTGGGATTTGGGTTGTTTGCGATTAATTTACGATGAACTTTCTTTTTACTTTGAAAACTGTTGGACAGGTTCAGTCCATTGAGAACAATCTGTCTCACTTTTCAGAAAGAGAGAGAGCGAGGATCCCACATCTACTACATGTTCCGACTGCCGTTTGCAGCAGGCAATGTGTTCAGTGCCAGTATGCTGGACACGCTGTTGTACCAGGCATTTGTCAAGGACTATCTCATCACCTTTGTCCGCCTCCTCCTGGGGATTGACCAGGCTGTCGGGTCAGGTCATCTTGCCTGTGTGAGTTCAAATGCATAACATTTATTTTTATGATCTTCATGTGGCATTTACAAGTTGTTGGTGATTCTGGGTTTGATTTGGTCAAAGCATCCACTGCATGTCGAAAGAGGTGACTTAATGGATCAGGCTTGACATAGTTAATTGCTTGTCATTGTACCCTGACAATATGGATTCTTGTTCATAATTTTTAGAATTAATGAAAGAGACATGAATTCACTCCATTTTGTATGCTTCTGTCCAAATTTGATTCGCGAGCCAGAAACCCGTCATACTGGGTTCGAATCCCAGTTCGCCTGATTATGATTCTAGGTTGGTCAGCACCATACCATGCTCATGGGTTTCACCAAAGTGGTAAACAATTAAGGTCAGAATAACTTCGGGCTTTCATTCCACATCAAATTGACTGGCTGTGATATAACTGGATTACTGTTAGAAGTGGCATTAATGACACTCCCTCACTCACACCCACTTGAATAACTTGGCATTCATCCCATTTCCCACAGATGAAGATCACTAAGGATGATCTATGGATCCGTACATATGGCCGCTTGTACCAGAAGCTATGCTCAACTACGTGTGAGATTCCCCTTGGCATCTACCGAACCCAGGTCCATACCGGGTCTGAGATTACCTCGGTAAGTCTTCATGGGTCTTCCAACCTTTGTTTACCCCAAGCTTGTGTATATTGTATCAAATCCTACTTTAATAGCAGGTTAGTAAGAGCCATTTCTATGTAATTGGTATCTGTTTTGTCCTTTCTGGTCAATAGTGGGAAGACTGTTCATTTTCTGCATTTTCTTTTGCATGAAATTAGCTTTACTGAATGACTGCATTCTTGTACAACTAGACTTTAAAGAATTTCTTGACATGCTGACATTTTATTCTTTTCTGTATAGAGCGGTATGGGTCACTCTCCTGTGAAAGTAAGTTCTGTTTGTCACCCCATGTGTGCAATTGTGGTCCCACCCAGGCCTGTGCAGGTGATCGGCTGAACCCACCCTCTTCCCCCACCCACTTCCCACAACCAGGGGTAGGCAGTACACCTTCATTAGAAGCTTATGAAGTAGTTTTTGCCAGACCAGTTTTGTTGCCTGTTTTACGTTTTAGTGTATCTGAAATTTGAAAAAAGTAAAAAATGTTGTGACTGAAAATATACTCTTTTGATTATCGTTTTACAAGCTTAACCTAATAGGAACTCAAACAAAATCCTTTTTTTATTTTGCTTTCTTCTGTATTCGGGCATGTTGATGCAGAAAATTAGTAAAACATCAGTAAAACACCAAAAATTGGTCTGGCCTTATTGTTTGAAGATGCTATGTATATATAGTTTTAGAAAGGTCTTATTGTTTAAGTTTATTAAAAACATTTAAAAAATATAATTGTGATATCATGTATTCACTATATTATGGTTTGTTCATTTTATTTGGAAATTGGATTAAACAAATATTTATAAAACACGTTCTTAATTTGTTAATTAAAACCAGTTAATTAATTAGTTAATAATAACACTAACACATACCCCAAAACTTCCGGGTTCGAAAGTTAAATATTTAGAGTACTTTGATCTATAAATGGAAGTGTGTAATTAATTATTTGAGAATATGCTGAAAAAAATAGTTTGTAGAGTACATCACATAGTCTTATACCTTCACTAATAGCCTAGGCTAACAGATGTTCGAATTCCAGGATCCTGTTGTAGATTTGCTAATTTCCTATTTGGGGGATAGACCCGTTATTGGTGATCCTGACTCCTAGACACTGTTCCCTATGCATCCCTCTGCTGCCATGCCCTGCCATGCCCTGCCACACCCTGCCACACCCTGCCACGCCCTGCCACACCCTGCCACACCCCGCCATCACCTGCACATGGACCGGACTGCACTGCAGGGTCAACTCTTAACACATACTGAACAGTGTGCAGTGATTAGCGCTCTCACACCCTAACATCAGAGAGTTTACTTATGCTGTTGTTTTGGTAGATTTAGCTTGTGTTTAAAAACCTGCAGTCCCACTGTGGCTGTCCTCAAGGTGGTGGTGATATTTGTATGTGTACACCCATGTCTGACCGGGCACTCCTGCTCCAGACATTCACTGATATCGACTGTCTATTAGTTTAAGCAACACAAAGGTGGAATGGTGAATTAAAGCATCCACATCCCCTATCATAAGGGTAAACAATTTTAAAGGACCATTTCTCAGTAATAATGTTTTTTAATACTGAATCGTGATTTACTACAGTTTTCAGAGTTCTTTCAGTTTGTCGATCTACATCTCTTGATTAGATGTGGACGTCTCCTTGACAACCAGACTGACATTATACATGCGACTTTGACCAGAAATTGCTTCCGGCTTACAACCATCTTGAAGCAGTTTCTTTTGTTTCCATAACAACTTGAGACAATACCTACTCATAATTACTGTATTTTACTGTCTTTTTATTAGCTAAAAAGGCAACGTTCATTTTTCCGTGGGAATGTGAGTAGATTTTATCCGATGCAGGAAGTCATCATATATCAGATATCACTTCTTGGATCTCGTCACCATTCGCTGTTTCCGTCAGTCAGTCTAGCTCACATCACAGTTTTCCATCCATGGATTCCATTCTGTACCAGCTCAGCTCATCAGAATCTTCTTCTGTTTTTTCTAACCAGTATGCTGTGTCTGGTTATTGCACTTTGCCTGCAGTGCTTGATCTACAGGTTCCGATATTTTGCGTTTTGAAACACTGCTGACTCATAGACTCTGGGCTGTTCAGAGATAGTCTGTTCAGGAACATGAGAATCAGGGAGTATCTGGAGCCTACAGTCAAACCTCAATCCAACTGTTTCCATCTCAGTGAAATCATCCAGTTTAAGTTATTTCATTTTACAAGTATTTGCAACATAGCAATGACCCATTCAGAATATGTAGACACACACACGAAATTGTTCTATATGAAGGGTTGCCAGGGTTTCACTGTTTATGCAAATTGTAAAAATAATTAAAGGGTTTTTTTCATCATTAGTAAGAGCAGACACATCTTAATTACAATTATTTATTTTTTTTAGGTTAAACTTTTTTTTAAAATTAGAATTTAAAATATATTTTTTTTAATTTCCCCTTATTTGTCATATTTTGTTGTTTTGAAGTTTTTAAGATACGTTTTCAACAGGTTTTATTTATTGTTGTATATGAAATATTGATATTGATAGCGATAGTAAATGCATTACCTTTTTTCACATTTTAATTTTGGGGATTGGATATATATATTTATAATGTGAAAACAGACGAAAATTCCAAACTGTCTCCCGATATTTCATCTCAATCCTTATATATATCTAGTAACTGGAAACCTGTCAAAACAGATTCCTCTCAGGGTTGAAATGTTCAATGTGAAAAGACATTTTTCTGAGGTATCTAAAACATGGGTATAGCTGGCCAGCAATGCTTTCCCTGATTCTCATATCTAGCGGATTGGACACATCACTCCCAAAGCACAGTTTTTGTGGAAGTTTACCATTTGTGAACACTGTGTTTGAATGCTGCCACAAACCTCTCACGTTTTATTTCAGTTGGATTCTGTTTGTAGATTTGCTACAAATCACTAACTTTATAGGTGATGTACAGCTTATTGAGTTGCATATAACACTGTCCTTATCCTGCAGTCCTCAACATGTGTCTCTCGGGATCAGTCCGCGCTCAATCTCGCGTTTAGAAATTCCTTTGTAAGTATACATTTATACTGTGTGCGCTTGCTGTTACTAATGATCCATTCTTCCTCTGCCAACCCATTCACACCCCAACTCTCTGTTTCCTGACTGCCTTGGTCAAGTCTAGACACATCACAAGTTGGAATGATAATACATAATTCACTTCATTATAGTGGAGAATATAGATCTGTTCAGATTATATTTTCCTGAGAATATTCAACATTTTATCCTGACAACACTTATTCATATTAAACTATATTAATTTTCAAACAAAACATATTTGATGAAAAAATTATGTTTTTTAAACAGATGTCAAAATTGTGATTGGCAATGGACTCTTAACAACACACATCATTCACAAAACAATTGCTTTGAGAAACATCCACATTCTGTGAGATACAAAATATGTGATGGACATACACTAAATGAAATACAATAGATATTTCCTCTGGAGGGAATCTTCTTTGAGAGGCATTTTGGAGTACTATGTAAGGATAAGATACATGGAAAACAACTTCTTTATTACAAGTAGGAGCATGTTTCGGTGTGGGTGCTAACGCTGTTATCAACGTTGCTCCTTATTGTAATAAAGAAGTTGTTCATTGATATACAGGAGTCTACAGGAGGCGATATCCACCCCTCCCCCCCCACACACACATCATTCAACTTCCTCCCTGGCCACATCTACCCAAGCCCCAGCCTCCCCATTCTGTTCAACAGATGCTCCAGCATGACCATGTGTACATTGTGAAACATCACCCCATCAGATACATCACAGACAGACCTTCTAACATCATCAATCATCAGGTCTAGTCTGTCATCATGACACAATGTCATGTCATGGCAGGGTGCGATTTTGTATTTTGTGTTTCCTTAACCCAGTTGTAACTCATGCACCACAACCAGTCAATTGCACTATTTAAATCCTCACATAATCCTTATATAAGGATGTTTTTACATATTATACCTTATTAAGATGAAACGTTACATGTTCTTTCTGTTCCTCAAAATTTGCCTCTGTCTTCTAAAACAAAAAAGTTGATTATTCAAAATATGATATGAGACTTTGTGAGGTTTTTAGTACTAATTGTTAATGAAACTTTGAAAAACAATTTTTGTAACAAGGGTTTTTCAAAAATAAAATTAAAGCAACTATTTCTGCACTGTGTGCAGCCTACCTGCATCTGATAATTCCCTGCACCAGACTCCTTACCCTCCACCCTGTCACTGGGGCTACCAAACACATTTTGTGTATGGATGATTGTTATGAGAATGTCTACAATAATGGACAACTGTTAACCACAAAAGTCAGAATTACTTGTAGACTTTGAACAACAAAAGTTAGAATTACTTGAAGACTTTGAACCACACAAATCAGCATTACTTGTAGACTTTGAACCACAAAATTCAGCATTACTTGTAGACTTTGAACCACAAAATTCAGCATTACTTGTAGACTTTGAACCACACAAATCAGCATTACTTGTAGACTTTGAACCACATGAACCACAAAAGTCAGCATTACTTGTAGACTTTGAACCACAAAATTCAGCATTACTTGTAGACTTTGAACCACAAAATTCAGCATTACTTGAAGACTTTGAACCACACAAATCAGCATTACTTGTAGACTTTGAACCACAAAAGTCAGCAATGCTTGAAGACTTTGAACCACACAAATCAGCATTACTTGAAGACTTTGAACCACAAAATTCAGCAATGCTTGTAGACTTTGAACACTTACTTTATTACCTATATTGAAAAAGACATGATCTAGCATTCAGAATGTATGATCTAATCGTGTGATCTAACTGCAATTTATGGCCTCACCATCATCAAGTAGACAACATATCATGTCAAGACAGATACAGCAATGCAAGTGAAACACAGTCAATAATGAAAATTATGAATAAAAGACCCCTATTATACAGATATAAACTTAATGGCCATTAATCCACTATTATATCATGCAGACATATTGTCTTGTTGGTGAACAACTGAGAAAAGTGAGCTCCAACATGACGGGTTGTTGAAGTAGTACTGCTGTACTGACTGCACAGCCACAGGAGTGAATATTGTTTTTACGCCGCTTTTAGCAATAATCCAGCAATATAACAGCGGGGGACACCACATATGGTCTTCACACTTTGTACCCATGTGGGGAATCGATCCCGGGTCTTCGACGTGACGAGCAAACACTTTAACCACTAGGCTACCCCACCGCCCAACACCGCCACAGGAACAACTGTCATTGAACAGCGTCTACCGTATTCGAAGTAATAAGCGCCCCGCTCTAATAAACGCCTACGGCGACATTTGCTAAGATATTAACTAGTGAACAATCCCAATTAGCACCCCTTCCGATTGATCAATGTACACAAGACTTATTTATTCGCGTATAATACGCACTCGTGTGTTATATGCACCCTTAATTATGGGCATTTAATTCTGGAAAAATACATCTGTCGTACATAAACATTTCAGGCTGTCAGCATAAACCACAAAATTTATCTTTCAACTCTGTATTTTTCACCAAAATAACATTCTAATAAGAGCCCCCTATTTCTAATTTTGAGAGCGCCCTGGGCGCTTATTACGTCGAATACGGTATATCGTGAGGCTGCACATTTGCATATAACCTTTCTCTTCTTTTTATGCAGACTATCCATTTAAGAAGCAAAATCTACATCTACAACCCACATGTTTTGTGAGCAAAGTCATCAATTAGTGTTGATATTTCATTCATTTCTATCCATACAAAGAAATTCATCCGTAGACCTGAACAGGCAAATTTGAAAATCGCACCCTGCTAAAGGCCATTCCATAACATCCATTGACCTACACCTTTAAAACTCTTGTAGTCCATGAATATCATCTCTTATATCTGTAATCTAAACTGACAGAAGTTGTAGGATTAAGGCTATTCTTGATAGGTTCTCAGGTGTCTTAACAAGTTATCAAAGACAACGGCAAAACCTCACCACTCTCAGCACTGGCTGCATCTTTCTCTGATATTCTGCATTTGTGCTGTTTGAGTCTATCTAGACATGATTCTGGCTTTGGGCCACATATATATATGTGTATATACTCTTGCAAGCATACACCTTAAGTGTATGTTGTACTGTTCTCAACAAAGCTCATTTCTGAGTGATGTGTATCCTCTCTTCAAATTTCGCAATCTCGATGTATCTTTTTCTTACCCAACAAGAAGTGTTGTACAACCAGAAGTATATTTATATAACACTTTAAAAATGTTTTCCTGTTTTAAATTGTTGACAAATAATATGCTTCTACAGATATTTCACAGATGGACAACAAGCATTCTGGGATTAATCTAACGAATTATGCAAATATTTCCATACAGTGTGTTCCTCCCTACCCTTCCTTTGCGTGATCTGTTTGTGAGATCTATCACATGAACCCATGTGATAACTGCCTACGTACCGTGGTAACATATGTTATATCACAATAATTGCCTCAATATTTCGTATACAATAAAAGTAATATAACTCTATTTCATGATAAGGTTATTGATACTGGGCTTTTCAAGTATGTATATACATATATATATTCCAACCAAAGTCAGCCATTATCATGAACAATAATTCCCTGACATGCCCACTTACTCAAAGTTATCTTTGGCAAAAATATATTTTATTTTGTTCATAACCATTTTCAGTAATAGTCAATGATTATGTTCATCCATGAAAAGTAGCATCTAAGTATGTTGAATTCTTGATACAGTTGGTATGTCAAATTTGCAATGTTGCTCTTCCTGGAACAACTCTTACTTAAGTTTTCCTCACAGACTAAAATGTAATAGCATGTGTATCTTATTAGAGGAATAAACAACGCACAGGCAATACGATGAAACTGCCACCAGTAAGGGGACGTATTAACTCAGTGAGTAGCCACATCAGATGCATGCATTTGGGTTGCTGTGGAAACAAGCCTATCAGATGCATGCATACAGGTTGCTGTGGAAACAGGCCAATCAGATGCATGCATTTGGGTTGCTGTGGAAACAAGCCTATCAGATGCATGCATTTGGGTTGCTGTGGAAACAAGCCTATCAGATGCATGCATACAGGTTGCTGTGGAAACAGGCCAATCAGATGCATGCAAACAGGTTGCTGTGGAAACAGTGGCCAATCAGAAGTCTTGCATTTATGAAGTGCTGTGGGAGCACAAGCCAATCAGAAGCATGCATACAGATTGCTCTGTATACAAGACAATCAGATGCATATATTGAGGTTGCAGTGGAAACACAAGCCAATCAAATGCATGCATACAGATTGCTGTGGAAACACAGGCCAACAGATGTCTTGCATTTATGAAGTGCTGAGGAAGCATAAGCCAATCAGAAGCATGCATACAGGTTGTTGTGGAAACACTAACCAATCAAATGCATGCATGCATTCAGGGTGCTGTGGAATAATAAGCCAATCAGAGGCATGTATTGCTGTGCATTGCTGTGGAATTCTGCCAGTCAGGTGTGTGCATGTATTGATGTTGCTGTGGCAAACATCATGTTTAAGCCAATCAGATGAATTTATTGAACTCGCTGTGAGAATCGGATGCATGTATTCAGGTTGCCATGGAAACACTATGGCACTAAGTGAAAGATAATACTGAATGTTGTGAGATCCTAACACTATTAATACCACTCCTGCAGGTAAGTGCATATACTAACAAGGCCTAGAGATGATAACAGACAATGTCAGGGATTGTCACACATTTTTCTTATATACATCTGTGCATATAAGTATGCAGGTATAGCTTTTGTCTCTTAGGCCATTACAAATTTGGTAGAATAGGTCTTCAGCAACCCATGCTTGCCGTAAAAGGCGACTATGCTTGTCGTAAGAGGCAACTAACGGGATTAGGTGGTCAGTCTCACTGACTTGGTTGATGCATGTCATCATATCCCAGCTGCGTAGATCGATGCTCATTGATTGGATTGTCTGGTCCAGACTCGATTATATAGCTGGATTATGGCTGAGTGTGGTGTTAAACAACAAACAAACAATCAAATTTATCATTAGCTGTTCATCCCTATCTTCACACTACCAAACATCCCACATCAAATAAGTTTTCCTTCCCTGCAAGTATCTGCAGACTAAACCATCACTGTGTGTTTCTCTTCTCTTTTTACTGGATGAAATACATCACATACTTAGTCCTACATTCATGCTCCATTTGAAAAAGAGCAACAAAAAACCTTTCCATCATAAGAAATGTCTGCTAAAAGTAGAGTCCAATGTAAGATTGTGAATGTATTATAAGCAAGTCAAGTGCTAATGTTCACATATGCCTTCCTCTTAACTCGTCACGATATGGCTGAAATACTGCTGATGTGACGTTAAATATTAACTCACTCACTTTCCCCTTAAAAACATTTTTGTTTCAAAAACAAAATATTAGAAAAAATATCCAACCTGACATTTTTTAAATGTTTGGCTGAAAATGTCATAAATAATTTACTGAAGCCTTTTTGCAAATTGAAGAAATGCCCTGGTTTCCCATACCCTAAAACTTACTGACCACATAAGAGGAGTTTTCTTTCTGAAGTTGTTCCCCAGTAAAACTTTTCCCCTATTTTTGTGTGCGCTGATTTCAATCATATTTTCTCCATTTATGCCTTAAGGAAGTGTAATTGTATATGTAGGAATAAGCATTCATCCTCATCTGACTCAGAGCAATATTCCTTATGACACGTGCTCCACTACTCCAGGGGGCACGGGTGGCCCAGTCGTCTAAGGCGCCGCGATTCGCTGTGCAGAGTTGCATCCCTTGGGCACACCAGAAACCTATGATTGTGGGTTCGAATCCCGGTTCGCCCCGATTATGTTTCTAGGTTTGTCAGCACCATACCCGTGCTCATGGGTTTCACCGAAGTGGTAAACGTCTGAGACCTGCATCACTTCGGGCTTTTCTCCCACATTAAGCTGACACGCCATGATGTAACTGGAATACTGTAAAAAGCGGCGTGAAACCCAACTCACTCACTCACTCCACTACTCCACTGTAAAGGACACTGAAATATGGAAATCTTTCTCGGCTAACAACTTTGAAGTTATTAATAAAACTTTCAGCATTTCATGGAATAATCTGAAAATAACCAAGCAGTTTCAGATTATCTATCCCAAGTTAAGTATGTTGATATATTGTGGGCTTTGGTGGGGAATATAAAACGTCAATGCCAGAGAATAACCAGTCTCTGAAACAGATTCCATTTGGCATAAAGTGCAAAATAAGAGTGAAAATTCTATGAATGGATCACCGAACATCAGTGATGACACCAGGTGTTCATAAAAAGGGTAAGCATGTTCTGCCCTACTTGTAGCACCAGCCACTCACACAATTTCATAAAAAGGTAAGTTTTTGTGTCCTGACTCCACATAGCAGAACTTTTTTACTTCCAAAAGGTCATCCATAATTTTGATTGCAAGAAGGTCATTCTGTATGTTAATGAAAGTAATTTTTTTGTGAAAAGGTGGATAAATGTGGGTTTTCCAATGGCAAGCTCTTGTCCGTTTATTGTTGAAAGTTGTTAGTTCTCACTACCGCTACACAAAGATCTGAGGACATCCAAGTCCGGGTCACGTCAGACCGACCTTGTGCAAACTTTGACTGACCAATGGAATGACCAATCAGAAGGGCGGCTTTCTCGTGCTTTACGGCACTAATTTCAAATAGGAGACTACTCTTCGAAACATATTTTGATAAATTCTCGATTACAAATTTGAAACCTGAACAAAAGAACATTCTGGAATGGCTAATAGATGGGCTAGATTGTATGGATTAAGTCGTTAAACCCGTAACTATCGTTCGGAATAAAGTTTTCGAGGTTGCATGATTAGAAATCACATTCCAACTGTCACTTTCATAATCTCGTAAGCGACGCGCTGATTGGTCGGATGAAGGTCATTCTGACGTGTCCCCCTAATGGGATGTCTTCAGATCTTTGTTTAGCAGTAGCGAGAACTAAGGTCTGTGCAGGGTAAGAGGTATGGTGAGGAACAGTATTCACCTTATCCCTGGGATTGTATTTATTTCACAGGAAATAATCAGCTAGGTTACAATGAGTGCATTCATGTATGTCTTATGTATATGGATTGTCTCCATGGTCTAGTGGATAGAGTGTTTGTGCAGACAGGGTTGGTGGTTCAATCCCCAGGCAACGTTAAAAGATGGTACTTGTTGTCACCCTGCCTGGCATTGAGGGGGTAAAAAACAATGAATGGCCGGTGCGGAGTCTGTGTATACTGTGTCTATGTAGGATATTCATGTTTAAACTGTAGCATGGTACCTCAGTGGGCTTGCATTGTAAAACCGGCTTTAGTCCGGACTAGTACAAGCAGCCACACACATGTGCATCCACGTCATTACTATAATAATGAACGTAACATTAAACCCCCTTTCCCCTCACTTCTTTAACATCAAGTGGTTGCAGCACTTGAATTATGTCAGGGGACAATGGAATGTCTTTAATGTATCCATTTAACAAACAGTACCAGGTATTTTACAGGTTGTTCATCAGTGCTATTTTCAAGTATTTCATCAAAGTTTTCACTTAATAATTATTTTTCAGGGCAAAACAAATGATTACTTGTTCTTTAGATCTGTATTTCCCAAAGTGAGCAAATTGAGGGACACTTTTATGGTTTTTTTAATTTTAAATGACAACATTCATTTTATTGCTTTTAATGACAACTGTTTAAGAGTTCTAAGGTTTTCGGGACCATGAGTCTTTTTAACAAGAATGGCCCAACATCTTCTTGTTCTTGGTTAAAAGAATGTGGGCCAAACAAGACAAGTGGTTGTCAGAAATGACAATCTCATTAAATTCAGATCTTAGTTTATGCTACCGCTAAACAAAGATCTGAGGACATCCCATTACGGGTCACGTCGGAACAACCTTTCGCGAATTTTGACCGACCAATGAAATGACTGAGAAGAAATCGACATTAGCCAATCAGAAGGCAGCTTTCTTGAGCTTTACGACACTAGTTTCAAACTGGCGACTACGCTTTGAAACATATTTTGACATATTCTCGATTAAAAAAATTAAAACTGATAAGAAGAACATTCTGGAATGGCTTAAAGATGGCCTAGATTGTATGGATATAATCATAAAACCCGTAACTGTCATTTGGAATACCCCGTTTTAAATATTTCGTGGTTGCATGAAAACAAATTCCGACTGTCACTTTCATGATCTGGTAAGCGACGCTCTGATTAGTTGGATGAAAGGTCATCCTGACGTGACCCTTAATGGAATATGTTCTCGCTACTGCTAAACAAAGATCTGATTTTAATGAGATTGCAGAAATGAAAAGGAGATTTTAATGAACAGATAACTTATTGGCTGCACACAATATTGGGCAATATATTTAGTAATTTAAGCCTGCAGTGGTTGAAACCTTCAGAGTATTATGGTCTGTCCTGGCATTAGCACATTTCAGCACATTTCAGCAGGTATTGATTGGAAAGTGTGCTGTACAAATAAATAAAATAATACACTGTATTTTCACATCAGATTATTCTGACTACATGTACCAGTGAAGGAGTGTTTTGCTCTGCGAGTATTGCATTGCCAGCATGTTATTTATGCAGCAAGATTATTACATTTAGCTAGCTAATATCCTGGTTTCAGATTGTGCATCATGCATATGCCTTTTAACATAACGAATGTTTAATGATTTAAACCATCACAATGTAAAATTATACAATTGAGTAATGATATGTCATTTTTGTAATAATTGTGTGTGTAAAAAGTATAACTATTTAATATTATCTTTGAATTGATATAAAAACTTGGAATAAAATGGGGTTTTTTAAACAAAATGTATAAATGTAAACAACTCGTTTATCAAATGTATGCATCAGCTTGAGTTGTGTATTATCATGTATTATTTTTTATCTTAAAAAATTTCCAATGTAATTAGGACTGTATTATAGAATAAGTCTCACTATATGTTTCATTTTCCTCTACTGATTTAAAACAAAATAAAGGAACAGCTAGAAAGGGAAGAATTGGTTTGATATCTTTTTTCCCTCACCACCAGATCTATTGCTTAGCTCATGCAGAATTTAAGTAAAAAAATCAAGTCTCCCTTCCTAGAATTCAAGACAGTGCAATAAACAGTTACAATATACCACACTTACTATTTGCATATGAACATTTTTAATTCGGGCCTTCCTTTCAGTTTGTTCCGAGTCCGTTATGTTCAACTCAACATCAGATCAGTGGAAGGGAGATAACTCTGGGGGTACTCTGAATAGATTGTTTTTCTTCAGACCATTTCTAAGCAATTTACACCAGATGGAGAGTGGTTGAGAAAACTCAAGGCGTTTCCAAGGCACATTATTTATCTTCATACCTTTTCAAGGCAAAATCTAAATTATCATAACAGACCTCAAAATTAAAGGCCTTTTCAAATCTGGAAAAATGTCATTGTATGTATCCATGTTCTGATGCACCACATGCCAGAATCACAATCTGTGATTGAAAGAGACTGCCATTTCTGTGTTCCTTTATTTGTTTGTATCAGTATATTGGAACAATTAGATACCTTCAAATCAGAATATTCTGATAGTTTTGACATTATGCTTTTGAAAATTCATAGGATGTAATTTACATTCAAGTATCAAAGACAACCTGTAATTGTACCAGGACTTTATGCCGTTATTGAAGCTCATAAATTTACCATCCCGTGAAGATCCGGGCTAGAATAGGTCTTCAGCAACCCATGCATGCCGTAAAAGGCGACTATGCTTGTCGTAAAAGGCGACTAACGGGATCAGGTGGTCAGGCTCCCTGACTTGGTTGATGCATGTCATCGATCCCAATTGCGTGGATCGATGCTCATGATATTAATCACTGGATTGTCTGGTCCAGACTCGATTATTTACAGACCGCCGTCATATAGCTGGAATATTGCTGAGTGTGGCGTTACAACAAACCAACCAACCAACCATAAATTTACCCTGGAACATTGTGAACTATTTATTGCCACATATAATAATCACACTGACATGGGCACCTTGTACAGAATGAAATCAGTTCACTGTTTCACTCCCTACTCTCCAATACCTGTAGGTGTCCCTGAGCATGGGAGATGACCAGGAAGAGGGGGTGCTGGGAGCTCACCTGACCCCCGAGAGGCAGGAAATTATTCAGATGGTCAAGTGCCGGATGCAGTCGCAAAATCTACCTATTGAAGATTATGGTTTGTAATCCAGTCTTTGTCTTCTGGTCGAAGTTGTCTTCCAGATATATTACAGTTGAATTAATTTTAACATATGGACTATGTATAGGATAAAACACACCTCTGAGGTTTTGGTTGACAATGTAGAGCTGTGAGTGACTGAAAAGCCAAAGGGCCAAAGACCTGAGCGCTTTTCACGAGCTCAAAGTTTTACAGTTTCAATCAAGACCTCGGAGGCATGTTTTATCCCACTAATGAGCTGTCGAATTCCAAGAAATACCAGAAAAAAAAAGGAAACATTGACATACCTTCTTGTGAAACTATACAGTGTATTGCCGCTATTGCGGTATACGGGAATTCGCTCAAAGCGCGCGAGAGAAAAAACATATGCAGCATGGACTGGCTGGAGTCATGACATGATAAATTTAACAACTGCTCATTACCTGCCTCCGTAGCTTAGTGGGAAAACAGTGGGTTACAAAACTTAACATGATATGTGAGTTTGCAGATTCAATTCTTGTCAGGGGAATTTTCATGTAAAAAAAATTGTGACAGGTTTAGAAGTGATCTATTTCAAAACCCAGGTTTGAAAGAGAACTGCTTCAAAACTTTTTTCTTTTTTTTAATAATTTTTTCTTTTTTCAATCATTTTACATTTATTTACTTGGGCTTGGAAGATGAGCTGGCTACTAGGTTTACCTGAGGTTGTCAGGAACCTAATGCAATATAGGGTAATACTGTGATAGGTTTTTAAGACCTAGACCTAAATAATTGTAACTAGACCAAGGATCACCCACTTGGGCAATCAATCAGGAGCACTCAATCATTGGATGATTGAATACACAGATGCTGTTTATTTATCGAGTGACAAGGTTAGAATTCCAACCATGTATGACAAACAGCTCATATTACAACCGCTGCTAATATTTTAAAACCAAATATATTAAATAATTCAAGTGTTATTTTACTTCTGAAGCAAACTGCTCGAATCAAAACCTTTTTGGTATCTATGCTGTTTCCATCAGGATTAACAGAGGATCACCCACTTGTGTGTGCCATCAAACATGTATTAATATCACATGTACTTGTGTTCCAGATGAAGTGAGTGACAAACGCAACTCCATCTCTTATGTGATCATCAATCCAAGCTACGATCTCAAGCTGGAACTGAATGACATTGTGTAAGTAGTGAAGAAGGAGGGGTTAGGGTCTGTGATCTGAAGGTGGAACTGGATGACAATGTGTAAGTAGTGAAGAAGGAGGGGTTACGGTCTGTGATCTGAAGGTGGAACTGGATGACATTGTGTGAGTAGTGAAGGAGGAGGGGTTAGGGTCTGTGATCTGAAGGTGGAACTGGATGACATTGTGTAAGTAGTGAAGAAGGAGGTGTTAGGGTCTGTGATCTGAAGCTGGAACTAGGTGACATTGTGTAAGTAGTGAAGGAGGAGGGGTTAGGGTCTGCGATCTGAAGCTGGAACTGGATGACATTGTGAAAGTAGTGAAGAAGGAGGGGTTAGGGTCTGTGATCTGAAGGTGGAACTGGATGACATTGTGTAAGTTGTGGTGGATGAGGAGGATTTGGATCAATAATCTCTAGCTGGAACTCGATACTGAGACAAATAAATCATCTCTTAAATAATATGAGGTGGAGGCCTTTCAGGGAGATTGACAGAGATGACAAAACTAGCTAATATTAAATTTTTACTGATCATATGATTACTTATTACTTCAAGTTTGTAGAGGTCCTTTGTGTAACCAGGTTTTGAAATTCTAAACCATAGTTTATAAATATAAAGAAGAAAGGCTGTTATAAAGCAAAAACAATTGGGGAATTCTTGGTTAGAATTGGTCCCAATTTACTATGATTATTGTATGTGAAGATGGAATGATTCTGGTGGTCAAACTCAGTGGCTTTTTGAATGCATGTCAATGTTGCCCTGACGGCATGGAACATTGTTCATAATATCGATCACTTGTGTGTTTGAAGGAATATTACAGCTTTATCAGAATCTGTAAGTCTGAGAATTCCTTTTCATCTGCATCAGCTTCTGAGACTACAACTCTTATCTTTCCACAGGTATCTAATCCGACCAAGTTCACTCTCCCCGCACCCATCACCACTTACAGATGAGAGAAGGTTGTTACCGGGGATGAGAGAAGACCCAACAGGGGCAGACAACTCTGATCAGGCGTTGGGGAGTAAAGGAGATCGCCAAGGACCAAATGGGAAGCCCAAGCCAGACACTGTCACTTATGCTGATAATAGTCGGGTATGCTTGTTTTTTGTAGGGGATCACACCCCAACAACATTGATTGTTGATCATAATACTTAAGAAACAGACAAACATATTCATTTCAGCACAAGCATGTTTTCCCACAAATAGTCATACTACTCTTGCTCAGAAGTTGTTTGATCAAGGTGACAACATTCAAGGCCTCAGTAAAGCTATCAAAACGTTCTATGGTGGACATGTTGAGGGTATTTCCAAATTTGATGCATCAGTGATGAAAAAGTTGTCCGATGCAATTCCCTATTTTGACTTGTTCCATTTGTTCCCATGATTTTTGGGTGAACAATTGACTTGCCTTTGCATGTGTTTGTGCCACCGATGGGAGAGGATAAACTCACCTTATCACGAACACCTGGTATCACTGATATTTGATTGTGATTCATAATCACATGCTCAGTATATAGTTGGAATTGTACAACTGACTTTTGGCAGAGATTTCTATTGCATACTAAAAGGGTTTTGTCGCTTTCAATTATATTTTGTTCAGTAAGGATGGATTTAAATTCTTGGAAGGCAAATAAAGCTTCCTCTGTATTCAGTTATGCAATTCATTATACAGCTTGTCCTGTTCTGTTTCCTTCTAGATTCCTGTGGTGTACTACGATTCTGATGAGGAGGATGACAACGTTGATGAAACAAGCCCTGTCTGTCCAAAAATAAACATCATCCAAGGATCGCCATCAGTGAGTCGGACAAGCAGTTTCACACAAGAAGCTGACGACTTCAAGCAACAGGGATTTAAAGATGGTCTCCATGGCACAGTGGTGTGATAAAGGCCGATTCATCAGTGGATTTGCTTTTCCAGGCTCTTTAGTCTACAGCATGTGAAACTGATACAGTTGTAGCTGTGTCAAGGAGATGTGTTGCTGGAGCCAGTTATAGAAGAAGTGGCATTTATTGTCCCGGTTGGAGGAAATACCAATGACGGAGATTCATGTTTCATCTTTGCTTGTTGAAGTAATCATCGGAGAAGAAGATATGATTACTCCCAGAAAGAAGATGGAGAGCACTGATGTTCTGATTCATCAGAAGAGGATGTGTATCACATGGAAGGAATTTGATGTCAATTCCCAGTATATGTGAACACTGAATGCGTAACTGGCGCAAAAGTGCATGTGAAGTCATTTGTGGAGCCCTAATTATCTGAATCTTGAGGCTGTGAAGTGATTGTGACCTCTGCATCATCCATGCAGGATCCATATCTGCATCACGCATGTAGGATCCATATGTTTGCAGTTGGATCTGTTTTTTTCAAGAGGTTTCAAAGCTTTTGCGAAAGACCACAGTTAAATGATTACTCACAAAGGATCACACCACCGGGTTGTAAGCTGAAAAGTTTGCTCTTCAAAACACAATGGTATAGTTTCTGGAACAATAGGAGGACTACTTTCTCCTGTTGGGATAAGGTGTACCTTTTAAACCATTGTAAGAAAACACATTGATGGTGCTACAAGCTGTGAGGGAATTTCTAGTGAACTGAAGAAGGTGAATTGTGTTTCTGTGTGAGATACTGTGAGGGAATGGAAACCATTATTGATTGTGTTTTTGAAGAATGTGAAATTATGAAGGTAATCTTTTGAAGTTGTGAAGCGTGTGCAATTTTGAAGGTGATCTCAAGTTGTTTTGGAGAATGTGCAATTGTGGACATGATATTTGGAGGTGTCTTAAGGATTATTGATTTTGAGGTTATGTTTAAAGTTGTTATGGATGATATGCAGTGCTGAAGGGGATGTTATATTGTTTTGAAGGGTTTAGGTTATGTTTGAAGTTGATTTATGAAGGAAGTGCAATTTTGAAGTTGAACAGAGAAAAACTGAAAGGTAATGATGTGTCACACACGTGAAAATTCAATCTCATTCAAATGAGATCTTTTACTGTGATAATATATATTTCTGAGATGTGAGGACACCTCAATAGGAGGTGCATAAGGAGAACCCTGAGAGATCACTGACTGTCAAATCCAAATAAAGAAAGAATGGGTTCTTGAGACAATATTATAACCACCTTGTTTCATAATTTTCTATCTTATCAAACTAAAAGCACCACAGGATACAAATATTACCTCAATAGTGCACCCTTTGGCACTACAGAATGTGTAAAATATACACAATGGCACTGACTTAGTTATTTACATTCTGAACTGGTCATTTAAGCTCATTTTCTAAATACAGAAGTCATATGCACTGGTTTTAATACTTCATTCAGTCGTATCAAGAATATAGAAACTTTGCCACTGATTGACTGATTAGATTAGTTCACCTGACACTCTCCCCTGTGGAGGTGTACTCATATCTTCATGCAGTGAGGAATGGCATCATGAAAAAAGATCTGATTTTTGTGAGATTCGAGAAAATTGCAATAACAGAGGTATTGGACTGCTACCTGTAATAATCATACCAGTTGGTTTCAGAGGACTGGGAATTTAACTGGGAATTAACTACAAGATATTGTTGAAACAAGAAGCAAATACGAAGTTGAAATGGTGCTACACCTAGACATGGAATGAGTGTCGCAATTCTCTGCAGTTGATCTATGTATGTTTTTGTGATATGTTCTGTAAAAACTGTGTTCAATGTGACCAGAAGTGATTTTGTTGAGATGGCCTGACATCAGTTTGGATGTTCCAACTGCATAAACAGGTGATTCTTGAGCCTCAGCATTATTAATTTTAACAATGTTCACTTGACACATTCTCGGAGCAAATGTGGAATTTTAAGACAATGATGCGCAGAAGACAGATATAAGAAATCGTACAGGGGAGTTTGACGAGAACAAATCTGAAAGGACCTGATTCAGAAATCATTTACGATGGCTAGGAAAAGATTTCTGTCAGCTGCTCACTTCTCAGACCTGCCATATTGGATGTAAGAGTACGAGAAGTCAGCATCACGAAGTGGACTCTAGTTGCTCTGTACAGATCCTGCACCACTGAACCTGGTGACTTCCATGGCCTTGGTTGTGATAAAGCCTTTCGTTGTCACTATTGCTGCCTTTTCAGAACTGCTTTGCCATAGGAGACACTGTTACCATGGTTACTTTAAGATTAGGACACAACAGAATTTATCATGAGGTGACATGGTATAATTGTACATGGCTTCTTATCAGGGCACAACACTTTGAGAAGGTTGAAGCTGTGTCATTGAACTGTGTGATATTCTAGAATCCTTCTCATGGAATGTTTAACAGGATGGTGTAATGGATGAGAACAATTACTGTTTGAAGTCAGGTAATGAAGGGAATATTATGAATAATTTATCATTTTGGCCTTGCTTCCTTAGATTTTAGATGTCCACGACTTTTGTCCCCTGAACCATAAGTACGCAGCTTGGATGTTCTTTCATTCATGTGTTATCTACATTAAAACCAAGCTATTGTTATGAACTCCATAAAGGTGAAAGACTTTGGATCAAGACCTCTTTCTTGCCTCAGGTTTTTTTGATGCCAAGTTTTCATGAGGAGTAGCATTTTGTCCTACCGATAATTAAAGCAATTGGAACATACCATTCTAAATATTTATAGTTATTGTGCACAAAAGCAAAATCCTGTACATGAATAAATTACTGGTCAAGAAATATTGCTTGTGTGCACAATTAACATTTCTAACTTTTTAGTTCGAGCCACCTTCTGTCCATCATGTAAGCTGTAGTAGTGTACTTGACAGTGCAATACCATTTGTTGAAAAGATTGTACAGTCAACAGAATCAAGAAGCCAAGTTATAATTGCCACTCATAAATTTATAGCCGGTGGATCCGTGATCCCAGTAACACAAAAAGGTTGGCTTGATGACAAACAAGGGCAGGCAGGTGTCATCTACAAATTTGAAGTGTTCAGAATTCAAACAAAAGTCTCCTGTTTACACACACTGGGGATGTCGGTTTTTCTTTATCTTAATATTTGGTGTATGTTTGATCATTGAACTGGGGCAGTCAGGTAGCTTAGTGGTTAAAGCGTTTGCTTTTCATGCCGAAGACCTGGGTTTGATTCCCGACATGGGTATAATGTGTGAAGCCCATTTCTGGTGTCCCCCACCATGATATTGTTGGAATATTGCTAAAAGCGGCGTAAAACCATACTCACTCACTCACTCACTTGATCATTGAACTGAACTACCACATTCACTTAACTTAGAAGCACACCTGACTGAGAGCAGTTGATATGTATTTTTTGTTATTTATACGTAATGTTTCCGAGGGTATTAACAGGCCTGTCAGATCAGGGTTAAACGAACCAATTTGGCACCTACTCTTTCTCCAGTTCCTATTGTGTGTGTTGTCAGTGTAGACTATATCCAGCCTAAAATATCTTTTAGAAATCTTCTTAATTATGATCATATTCATATTGTCTGAACCTGAGATAGTATTATGTTTTCTTTCATTTGCACACAATTTATGTGTCTCAAAGTGTGACACTTTTGCAGCAAGACAGGATCAGTGTCTAGTGTCTGAAACAACGTTTAATCCTCGACTGTCTCTGGAAAGATATGACTTTACTTTGTGTTGGAACCCTGAAATACAACAGAGCACAAATTCGTGGATGATCATGTTGAAGATCAAGATATTACAAGGACCTCTTAATGTGTAGGGTCACATTTGGTATCAACAGGATTCAATTTTCTTCAGGAGGAAATTTAGGAAATAGGAAACTTCTCTTCATAGAAGAAAAGAGCTCCTTTGCAACCTTATTATGGTAGCATACACCAAGAATGTGTTTGAAATTTTTATTTAATGTGTGAGCAATTGAACTCTTCTTCAAGATTGGAACAAATGAGCAGACTTATGCAGAAGTATGAACATTGGGGACATCATTCTTCATGCTAAAAACAATTGAGATGACTTCTGCAGAAGTATGAAACTTGGGAGTGTCATTCGTCGAGCTAAGAACAATTGAGATGATTTCTGCAGAAGCATGAAACTTGGGAGTGTCATTCTTCAAGCTAAGAACAATTGAGATGATTTCTGCAGAAGCATGAAACTTGGGAGTGTCATTGTTCAAGCTAAGATCAATTGAGATGATTTCTGCAGAAGCATGACACTTGGGGACATCATTCTTCAAGCTAAGAACAACTGAACAACTGAATGTATGAAGGTCACCAACCACGCTTGATCATGTTTTGTTGAAGCACTCAGATTCATCACAATATTTCCCTGGTGGCATAAAGCTCACATCTATACTTCAACAAACCTGTTTGATTAACCTGCTGTGGAGTGTTGTGATATAACCAAAATTGTGTTCCACGCTAAACCCAACTCAGAGTTATCAGAGTTCATGATACAAATGAACTGATGTGTCCATGTGTGTCACATGATACATATGTACAGAATCAAATGTAAGACGAGAATGTGTGTGCATGCGTGCGTGCCTGCGTGCGGATCAAGTTTTTGTGACCATTGCCCTATAAAAACATCCATAGATCTGTATACTGAAGTGGACAGTTACAGTTTTGTCACCTTCTGGAATGTTCATCGTTGTTTGTTAACACATGTTTCCACTTTGTCAAGTGTTTTACAGTCATCAGAAATCTATTCAATCTCAATAAAATCTTTTACTGAAGATCTGATAATACTTCCATAGAAGGTCATGTTAGGTGACCTTTTTAATCATTGAATCCGTGTTGATGGTTCTTAATTTGCAATACAAGTGAGTGAAGCATTCAGAGCTGAATTTCCGATTTATGTATTTCAAAAAGCTCTCTTATACGTAGAGTTCCAAAAGTAAATAATAAAGGCCACATCAGTCTTCCGTTGTGGATTAATATAATGGCATCCAAACACAACGAGTGTACTGTCAATGGCATATATGTGTTTTGTTGCATTAAATTTCATTGAAATTTCCGAATGAAGCTGGTAAAGAAATGAAGACGAATCGTTTTAGAAAGGTGGCATCTGATTTGCCCAAGAACCATTTCATCCTTTATTTAGACAAGTTTGGTTTGGGTTTTCCTGAAGCGACCTTCTATGGAGGTTAAGTCAGATCTTCACGCAGGAGGAAATGCATTAAGAGTAAAAGATCTGATTCCAACGAGACTGCCAGCCATTGTGATGCCACCTGTATACAATATGACCTCTCGGATGTGTGATCAAGCTTTCACTGAAGATCTTTGCTCAAAGAAGCTCTCAGAGAAGAGCGCCAGACTGCTGCAAAGTTTGCTTTGAATTTTCAATACAGAACATGGATTTTCCTAAAACACATTTTTATTATGATAACATTCTGGATCTTGATATGAAGTTCTTTATATCATGATCGTGAAGGATTTATTCAGTACGACCAAACTAGTGTCCTGTATAGTCAGGTATTACGATTTGAAGTAGTATTTATTTTAGTATTGCATGTCGGCAACTCTTGGCAGTTCAAGTCACAGACCAGCAATTGTAAACAAATACCGTATTCGACGTAATAAGCGCCCAGGGGGCTCTCAAAATTAGAAATCGGGGGCTCTTATTAGAATAATATTTTGGTGAAAAAAACAGTTGAAAGATAAATTTCGTGGTGTATGCTGACAGCCTGAAATGTTTATATACGACATTTATATTTTTCCAGAATTTAATTGCCCATAATTAAGGATGCTATATATATAACACACGAGTGCGTTATCATTGATCAATCGGAAGGGGTGCTTGTTGTGATTGTTCACTAGCCAATATATTAAGAAATATCGCCGTGGGCGCTTATTAGAGTGGGGCGCTTATTACGTCGAATACGGTACACTGTTGACTGCACATGTACATAATTTGGACACACATTCAGCATCTTTCCAATCAGGATTTATTTTGCAAAATACGATCTAAAATGATATGTATGTTTTTATATAATGAAATAGTATGATGTTTCCTAAAGTAATTAAAGGAAGAACATTATGTTCAGAGTGTTTGGGTGTTATATCACTCTGGAATGCTATGGTGTCATCCTTGATTCAACTCATGACATCAGATGCTTCCAAGTTTTTTTCTTATAATTGTGAACACACTTAATATTTCGATAGTGTTTTCTCCTCTTCGCCAAGCCGAATGTCATGTCCTTTTTTCAGTTTTGGATCGTAAAATGAATCAATAAAAGTATTCATATGCAGGGACTAGTCCGAAGTACAACTGAAGTTTTTTTCTTATAATTGTGAACACACTTAATATTTCGATAGTGTTTTCTCCTCTTCGCCAAGCCGAATGTCATGTCCTTCTTTAAATTTTGGATCGTAAAATGAATCAATAAAAGTATTCATATGCAGAGACTAGTCCGAAATACAACTGAAGATCAACGTGTTGCGGGCATCCATTCTTTTCACAATAAAATCTATAGACCCACTGAAAACAACCACCACTATTCCTAGCTAGAGTTTGTAAATCAATGTCCGAGAAAAACTCACCTAATCTAGTCCAGTTATATTAATG